GGGGAGCCATTGGGACATGACATGGTGGAGATAGTTAAGATGCATTCTCTCTGGTTGATGGAAAGCAGTGTACCCCGGGGATAAAAGGATAGGGAAACAGAAACCCGAGAAAGAAGAAAGAAAGAAAAGTGGAGTAGAGGCAGAGGTGAGGAAGGGGTTTGGGTAAGGCAGGGGGAGTGTGTATGGCATCCAATGGAAGGAAAGTATGATTCCTATCCACAGGGTTGTAAGTAGTCCACAGAATATCCCCATAGGGATTGTCTGAGACATATTGAGGGCAGTAGTGGATGACCTCAAGGATCTCCACGGCCAACAAATAGGAAGGCCATCTATTAGGATGGTGATGTCAGGTAACCCGGTGGGGTGTAAGACGTTATTAGTGAAGATGAAAGAGGAGGTTGGGCAGAGGTAGTATATAGGGTGGGACAACATCTGTGAGGAAAGGAGTGCGGAGCATGTGATTGGCTGAAGGGGATATAAGAATCAGGCTGTTAGGCAAAGAGGATTTGCTGGCTGATATGGGGTGGTGGGGTATCACGCAGATGTAAAAGGTAGGGCAGCTAGGTTGGTGAGGTGCAAATAATCATACCAGGCCATGCAGCCCATGGGCAGAAGACGAGCATTTGCTGTAATCAGAGGCTAAAGCAAAATGGGTACAGGGGACGGGGGATGGAGGGTAGGTAGGGAAGGAAGGGGAGGGGGAAGGATATAAAAGGGAAGACTACTCAGAGACTTTGTAGTAGGTAAGCAATAAGGTTCCCATAAATCTAGAGGTGTTCAGAATTTGGTGGGAGTGGGAATCCAATTGTAGGGGAACTGGGGGTGTCCTTGTCAGTTTGTCATGGCAGTCCAGGGACTTAAAAGACAGTGGTATGCTCACAAGTCAGAGAAGGAGAGTTCTGTCCATGATGTCTTCATGGGCAGGGGTAGGAGAGATGTAGCTACCTCTTTTGTGGGTGTTGGCTGATTTCTTGGAGCCCAGTGAGATATGCATCTTCTGAGGAGAGCTGGATGCAGAGCGGCATCTAGAACTTTCAGATGTAGGAGCTGAAGAAAGAAGGCGAAGAATATCTTGCAGAGTGGACTGGAGGTCCTCAGAGGATTTGCAGGTGTAGTGGGTGCCCTGATAAGAGAAGCTGACAGAGAAAGGAAAACCCCAGCGATATGTTATATGATGCTGTTGTAGGATCAGCAGGTGGGGTTTCAGAACTTGACAAAGGCCCGAAACCTTCCCCACTAATCACAAATGAAATAGTTAGAAAAAAAATCATTCCAATTAGCAAATTTATATTTTTTTATTCAATTAAGTGCATGAAAGCAAAAAGGTCCAATCTACATAAATAAAGTGGTTTTATCAATGATATCCTCATTCAATCATCACTGGTCCATAAAAAGTCAGGCAAATTAAAAATTAGTTTGCTGGTGAATTTCCTGGCTTGACCATAAGTGTATGCCCTTTTTACCATGTTATTTCAAATGCGTAAATGCTATAATGCATTTATAACATGTACAACACAATGATGAAGGGCATTTCAATTATTTTTTGACATGTGCAATAATTTGATTTTATTGGCTGATTTTTCTTCTTATACTTATTTCCTAAGGATATGTTCTTCGGTTTACAGCTAGTAGGGTCCCCCACCCATTTGAAGTAATAATAATAATTGTTGAAATCAGTTTTTAATTACTATGTGCCAGAGGACAGCAAGAGCCCATAAAAGTGTTGAAGGAAATTTAATTAGAGATAAAGTTTTTATGAGAGGTCCTAATGTATTTTACCTCGACTAACCTAACAATAAAGGTAGTGGAAGTTACAATGACATCTGGCACAAAACCACATGTACAAATTATGCAGAGGTAATAAAAGGCAGCTAATTAGCAATGGAAATGATGCTACAACATTTTTGAGATGCGTGAAAATTTGCATACAGATACATAATTACATCATTTGCAGCTGTTGTGTTTTTGTTGTTCTTAAGTCCTTGCATCTTTATTTACAAATATCTTTTTTGTTGCTGTACAAATATGTGGTGAAACTTGCATTTGGACCAGTTTCTTAATTTACAATTTTTTCCCATGTTTGATGACAATATTTAGAACATACTTGCTCATCAGAATATCTTTTCCATTAGAAGCCCTTTGAGAGTTACAAGTCCATGGGTAATCATCTATTTAATTTGCCTTGCATGATTATAGAGTTTGTGCACTTATAAAAGGCTTCTAATTTTTCACAGGTTTAATTTAAAGCCCATCACTTTTAAAATAAAAGTCTAACCAAATAACTAAAACAAGAAGTACATTGCCCAAATAGCAAGCTACACAAGCTCTGGAGAATGGCCAGAACATAATAATTTGCAATAAGTTGCTAGGTTGCTATTGCTTGTAAAGTTTCTTTAAACATTATTAACATCAATGTGTCCTGTATCTTTAACAAGATAAATATGGTTTCCTATCTTATTCAATGTCTGTAACCTTTTCATGGCCAGAAGTCACTGAAGCAAAAGATGTCACACCAGATTTAGCAGTCAGTTGGGTTGATTTACTAAAACTGGAGAGTGCAAATCTGGTGCAGCGCAGCACTGCATAGTATTTTTTTTTCTGCATAGTTTTTTTTTTGTCAAAGCTTAATTGAAGAATCTGAAGTCAAACAAAGCATTTGCCTAGGGTAGCACTTTTTAGGGGGGCGGCATGGCGGCAGCGCTGCCCCCCTTTCCCATGGAAGGGACACTTTCGTGGGAAAGAGACAGGGGCTGCTGTGTCTTACCTGTGTCTGCGACTCCGTGTCCCACATCGATCCAGTCCACAAGGCACTGCTGGAGGAGGGGTGCAGAGGGTGTCCGTCCGGTGTCTTCATCTTCCTGGATCTTGATCGTGATGTGGGCGGGATGACAAGCCACCCCTCAAATCTGGCCACACCCCTGGGATCACTGGGCAGCCTATGGCAGCCTGCCCCTCCCTCTGCAAGCTCCACCTCCTTGATGGTGATTGGCCGCCAGATCTGTAGCTCAGAAAAGGCACACAGGCGGCCAATCACAGGCGAGGAGGCGGAAATTGGAGAGGAGGAGCTGAGTGGCAGCACGAAGATTGAAGATCGAGTGAGGGAGCAACAGGAGCCGGTGAAGAGGAGGAGAGCGGCTGGAGAAGGAAGACGGCTGATTGGTAAGTGTCTGTGCCTGAAGGAGGGAGCCCAGGCTGGAGCAGGGGTCAGCACAGCGATGTAAGTATAATTGGTGTCAGTGGGAGTAATAGTGCCCCATCATTAGTGTCATTGTGGGAGGAATAGTGCCCCCTCATTGGTGTCACTGACACCAATGAGGGGGCACTTTTCCTCCCACTGACACCAATGATGGGGCACTATTCCTCCCACTAACACCAATGATGGGGCACTTCCTTCCACTGACACCAAAGATGGGGCACTATTCCTCCCACTGACACCAATGATGGGGTATTATTCCTCCCACTGACACTAATGATGGGGCATTATTCCTCCCACTGACACTAATGATGGGGCACTTCCTCTCACTGATACCAATGATGGGGCACTATTCCTCCCCCTGACACAAATGATGGGGCACAATTCCTCCCACTGACACCAATGATGGGGCATGATTCCTCCCACTGACACCAATGATGGGGCACGATTCCTCCCACTGACATCAATGATGGGGCACGATTCTTCCCACTGACACCAATGATGGAGTACTATTCCTCATACTGACACTAATGATAGGGCACTATTCTTCACACACTGACACTAATGGTGGGGCACCATCATTGGTATCAGTGGGAGGAATAGTGTCCCATCATTGGTGTCAGTGTGAGGAATAGTGCCCCCTTATTGGTGTCAGTGGGAGGAATAGTGCCCCATCATTAGTATCAGTGGGAGGAATAGTGCCCCATCATTAGTGTCAGTAGGAGGAATCGTGCCCCATCATTGGTGTCAGTGGGGGGAATAGTGCCCCATCGCTGTCAGTGGGTGGAGCTCTAATAGGAAGAGGTGGGGCCTAAAGAGGAAGGGGTGGAGTTTGCAGATGAAAGGGTGGGGTAAATTTAGATGTGGGGGGGTGCCTCATTTTAGTCTTGCCTAGGGCAGCACAAAACCAAAATACACCACTGATGGAGATGGATAACTTTATGGAAACAAGGCTTTGCATAATTATACAGAGCTGCCATTCAATGATTGTAAGCTGATGACTAGTGAAGCAACGTTCAACAAGCAAAATGAGGGGTACAGGAAGCACATCATGAATAAAGCAGAGGCAGGTAGGTGTGTGCATTGCAGGTCCTCTGGTAAAGGTTCTTCTCTAGCAAGCAGTTTAGTGGTGATTCCAAATTTCATTCCAAATCTTGTGACACTAGCAGTTACAGTCAACAGTGCCTTTCACATTATGGATATACAGCACTAACACTGAAGGCATGGAAGTGTCTAGACAGCTTAACATACCAGAGGTGCAGTGGTATATTTTCAGGAAGAATTCCAGACAAAGAAAAAAAATTCAGGGTATTAACATTTCTAGATGTTCCCTATAACATAGGAAATCTTTACTTTTGAGTTCAGGTATATTCTCAGGTTAAATCTTCAACACACCAAAAAGAAACATTTGCTAATTGAAAAATTGAGACTAACATTCTCATTTTTCAAATGCTAGTTGCCCCTGTTGTCCTGGCAATTTTGTTTCAATACTTTTAGTTGCTGACCCAGAAGAATTATGCAGATAATGATTTATGACTTTAATCTGATTACCTCGATCTGCATACTTGTTCTGGGTCAGTGACTCAGAAAGTATTGAAGCAGGCAGGTCAATATTGGCAAGCAGGACAGTCAGGTAACTAGTATTCTCAAAATGTGGAAACAATTGCTACCTCTGTGTTCCTCTCAGGAATTCTTTACTTGAAAGTTCCAAAGAAATAGCAAATTGTTAATGAATATGCATAAAAATATTTAGACAGAATAAAGGTGAATAAAGCACCTGGACTGGATGGCATACACCCATGGGTCCTTAACCTCCCTGGCGGTATTGCCGAGTGTAGCTCGGGGTAAAGTTTCAGCACCACAAGCGGTAACCCTGAGCTACACTCGGGAATACACTGCAGCGTTGCTCTGGGATCCCTTCTGCACTTACCTTGTCCTGCGCTCCCGCGATGTCCCTCCTGCAGTGTCCCCGGCAATGTCCTCCGGCCGATGCCGGCATCTGTCTTCTGGGTTCCGTTCCCTGCAATATCAGGATGTATGGGAAATACGGGGGACGGAACTGGTGGAAATTTAAAAATGTGAAAAAGTGACATTCACTAAATACACTAAAATCACATAGTAAAACATTCCTGTATCAAACCATTTCACATACATTTTGTCCCGAGTGCTTTGTCCTGCGCCCTGCCTGCAATTTTACTGTTCTTTCTGCCTGGAAACTGAGAAATGTCCATGGTTTCCAAAAAGCGTCCCTTTAGGTCAAAAGTGGTTTTAGACCAGCTAGAAAACAGCGATAGTAAATTAGAACCACTTGCAGAATTGAGTGGTAATGATTTGTGGGGAAATTCGTCATCAGACACTGAAAACGATTTTGCGACTTTGCTCAGTGATGTGAGAACTTGGCACTATATTTCAAATTTCAGTGTTTTGGGTTTGATTATATTATTGAATTAAATTTATTCTTATATTATTATTTTTTTATGAATATTTATTAAATTATAATTTATAATTTCGTGTTTCAAATTTTAACATACCCGGAATGTTTACTAGACTCTTGTTCGGACAGATTTCAGTGATTTATCCCTAACAATTACAGGCCTACAATAAAAAAAATACATATTTCCATGCAAAAAAAGTACCGCTTTGAGCACAGAAATACTGACATAATCAGACCGCTAGGGAGGCTACAGAATTGAGCTTTGTCATTTCAAAGCCATTGTTTCTAATTTTTAGGGACTCTATAATGACTGGCATAGTACCACTGGATTGGCATAAGGCCAATGTGGTGCCAATATTTAAGAAGGCGTCAAAATCTTTAGCAAGTAATTATAGACCTGTCAGTTTAACTTCTGCAGTTGGGAAGATACTGGAGAGTTTAATAAAAGACCACATAGATGCATTCTTGCTAGAAAAAAATATTTTAAGCAACAGACAGCATGGATTCATGAAAGACAGAAGTTGTCAATCTGATTTCTTTTTATGAGGAGGTGAGCAAAACCTTGGAAAGAGGGGTGGCGGTGGACGTGGAATACTTGGATTTTGCAAAAGCGTTTGACACAGTTCCCCACACGGCTAATATGTAAGGTGGTCTACAGGCTTGGAAAAATCTGTATGTAAATGGATAGAAAACTAGCTAAAAAAATCGTATTCAGAGAGTAGTGGTTAATGATTCATACTCTGAATGGTCTAGGATTGTCAGTGGTGTACCCCAAGGTTCAGTGTTGGGACCCTTACGTTTTAATATATTTATAAATGATATAGGGTCTGGGATTAAAAATCCCATTTCAGTCTTTGCAGATGACACCAAGCTGTGCAGTGGAATAACGTCCTTACAGGATGTCTCCAACTTACAACCGGACCTCAAAGCACTGTTTAATTGGGCAACTATGTGGCAAATGAGGTTTAATGTTGATAAATGTAAGGTTATGCACTTGGGGGCTAAGAATATGCATTTATCATACATACTAGGGGGAGTACAACTGGGGGAATCAATGGTGGAGAAGGATCTGGGAGTTCTGGTAGATCACAAGCTTAATAATGGCATGCAATGCCAAGCTGCGGTTTCTAAAGCAAGTAAAATCCTCTCTTGTATTAAAAGAGGTATAGACTCCAGAGAGAGATATATCATTTTACCCCTGTACAAATCATTAGTAAGACCTCATCTGGAATATGCAGTTCAGTTTTGGGCACCAATTCACAAAAAGAACATTGGGGAACTGGAGAAAGTACAGAGAAGGGCAACCAAACTGATAAGAGGCATGGAGGAGCTCGGCTATGTGGAAAGATTAGAGGAACTGAATTTATTCTCTCTTGAGAAGAGGAGATTAAGGAGGGATATGATAAACATATATAAATGCCTGGATTCTTTCTTGGATAGACAGAATATAACTGGTTACTATTTATATGTAAAGTTGATCCAGGGAATATCCGATTGCCTTTCAGGGGATCAGGAAGGAATTTTTTCCCCTGCAGGAGCAAATTGGGTCATGCTTTGCTGGGTTTTTTGCCTTCCTCTCGATAAACTGTGGTTGTAGGATTATAACTTTATTTCTTTTTTTTTAATGTATGAACTGAATGGACTATTTTCTTTTTTCAGCCAGAGTAACTATGTAATAAAATTTGTGACTGTCAACACTTAGGCACAGAAGATATCTTGGAGAAACATAATAACTCTATATATATATGCTACTTTATCCACAGTGCCCAACTAGCAATCTGAGTCCTTCCATCCGCTAGAATCTAGTGTTCCCCTTCCTTGATGTTTACAAAGACCTGCTTATAAGAGCATAACCAAATGAGATCTGATAAAAAGTTTTCCTAGAGTTTCCCAGTAGCTCTATTATCATGTTACCTGCAACATAGAAGAAGCCTGGGAAACCTCCCCTCACTCTGATTTGGGTCACATGCTATTCAGGAAATCAGAAAAAATGTTCACTGTCGTATTATGAGAACTACCACACGGTACACTGACAGATGTTCTGTATCATACCACAGGTGAAATATAAATATTAATTACCCTGTCCTCTGCTAGTTAAATGATTTGGAGTATTGCTTTCACACTTTCTTTCTCGCTCCGTGTGAGTCATCCACTTTTTGTTATTTTACTGGTGTGAGGAACATCAAGCATAGTGAGAGTAAATTTTGAGTGTGCTGTAATAAGCTTAAATGGACTGTAATGGGGTGGCTAAAGACCTAGAGCTAGATCTCTTCTTTAAGGGGAATGAGGTAGAAAATGTATCCCCGGATTTGCTATTGGAATCCCATAAAGTCTATATGAGCCCCCTTTTAGCAGAGGGGGCTAAAAGGAAAAAAAATGGCAATCCCAGCTGCATGGCCTTCTTCAGGACATCCAGGGATTGGAGTAATCACATAAGGCAAAAAACAACAATCAGATTCTGGCGAGATTAGAAGAAAAAAGGGAGGCCCTGAAGGTTTTAATGGAGCAAGATACTAAAGATACAGTTAATGCAGTAGCAAATGTTATTAAGATATGGGAAATAAGCCAGGGAAATTACTGTCAGGAATATTACAGGCAAGGCAAACAATTAATTTTTAAGCTAAAATTAAGGATAAGAAGCAAGAGTTAAAGTTTTCCATGAGTAATATTACAAAAAACTATTCGGGGATATTATCAACAACTTTATAAAGTGAGGAATATTCAAAATCCCGAGGAGATTCAAGATTAAAGCCAGCAGCTATCTGAAAAAGGTAAAACACCCTATAATATCAGAAGAGGTTATTAATAGTTCTAGATTGTAAGCTCTAATGAGCTGGCTGCTCTGTTTCCTCTTGTACCAAATTGTATTGTAACTGTAATGTCTACCTTCATTTTGTAAAGTGCTGCACAAACTGTTGGCACTATATAAATCCTGTATAATAATTATTAATAGTCTAAATAGAGAGGTCTCTAAAGAAGAAATAAAGTCAGCAATTTAAAGCGCTAAAGTATGTGAGAGTCCAGGTCCAGATGGGTACACATCCCTATTATTACCTTGTTTTCAGGCATATATGAATTTTACTGGGAGAGGTATTTAGATGCGCTCAGAATCCTTGGTCACCCATATTACGGTTCTCTCTAAGGAGGGTAAAGATCTGGGATTATGCTCTTTAGGTCTATATCATTAATAAATAAATATATTAAATTATATGCAAAGATATTGGCTGAAAGACTGAAGCGTTATATGCTGGATTAGATATAGAAAGACCAAGTAGGCTTCGTATCTGGTAGGGTAGCAAGGAACAATATTCTGAGAATGATTTTATTAACACATAGAGCTAGGAGAGGTAGAAAATAAACAGCCCTTCTCCTGACAATGGATGCCAAAAAGGCATTTGACAGGGTGGATGGGGAAAACTTGCTTTTAACACTACAAACATCTGGGTTTAGGCCCGTGTATGCTTAAATGGATTGAGGCATTGTATTCTAAATCATCTGCACAGGTTCGGGTGAATGGGACTTTGGCACAACCAATCCTTTTATATAAAGGAAGGCGGCAAGGATGCCCGCTCTACCCTTTGCTTTTTGTACTGTCCGTAGAAACCCTCTTGGTGACAGTTTGAGCAAATCAGAAGATACAGGGCATAGAGGTATCTATAAAGAATCAAAATTTCTCTGCATTTGTGGATGACATACTGTTTTATGTATTGAATGCAAGACAAACATTGCCCAATATCCTGAAGGAATTAAAAAGGTATGGGGAGATCTCAAATTTTAAAATTGATATAGATAAATCTGAAATATTAAATATTTCTGTCCCTCAAGGGCAGTCCAGGGACCTTAAACATACAGTCAGGTCCATAAATATTGGGACATCGACACAATTCTAACATTTTTGGCTCTACTATACACCACCACAATGGATTTGAAATGAAACGAACAAGATGTGCTTTAACTGCAGAATTTCAGCTTTAATTTGAGGGTATTTACATCCAAATCAGGTGAACGGTGTAGGAATTACAACAGTTTGCATATGTGCCTCCCACTTGTTAAGGGACCAAAAGTAATGGGACAATTGGCTTCTCAGCTGTTCCATGGCCAGGTGTGTGTTATTCCCTCATTATCCCAAAAACAATGAGCAGATAAAAGGTCCAGAGTTCATTTCAAGTGTGCTATTTGCATTTGGAATCTGTTGCTGTCAACTCTCAAGATGAGATCCAAAGAGCTGTCACTATCAGTAAAGCAAGCCATCATTAGGCTAAAAAAACAAAACAAACCCATCAGAGAGATAGTAAAAACATTAGGAGTGGCCAAAACAACTGTTTGGAACATTCTTTAAAAGAAGGAACGCACCGGTGAGCTCAGCAACACCAAAAGACCCGGAAGACCATGGAAAACAACTGTGGTGGATGACCGAAGAATTCTTCCCTTGGTGGATGACCGAAGAAAACACCCTTCACAACAGTTGGCCAGATCAAGAACACTCTCCAGGAGGTAGGTGTATGTGTGTCAAAGTCAACAATCAAGAGAAGACTTCGCCAGAGTGAATACAGAGGGTTCACCACAAGATGTAAACCATTGGTGAGCCTCAAAAACAGGAAGGCCAGATTAGAGTTTGCCAAACGACATCTAAAAAAGCCTTCACAGTTCTGGAACAACATCCTATGGACAGAAGAGACCAAGATCAACTTGTACCAGATTGATGGGAAGAGAGAAGAGT